CATGAATTAAGTCTTCTGACACTGTCAGGTCCTGGCCCTAGCTGGAGCAGGATTCTGGGAAAGAGACAGCAGATGGAAGACCACTCTCTATATAGTCTCTGTCTCCTAACAAACAAAATACAAATGAAAAAAAAAAATGGAGAAATATTGTATTGCTTATAGAGTGTTGTTTCAAACATGGCTGGAGAGTTGTCTAACATGTTATATGTACACATTCTGAAACAGGTCAGCCAAAAGTGTTTTGGAGAAAGGACTATCAGTCTGTAACAGGAAATTGCAGTTGGATAAGAGATTACCCCACCCAGGAGTGATGGAGCACAGTTGCTTCTCTTTTCTTTCTAGGGAGAGAATTACCCTAGCACTCATTCTTGGCTCCCTGTATTTCTTGTTAATCAGTGCCTCTCTAATTTCTGTTCTGTTATTGCTGCTGCCAGTCTGCCTTGTAAGCCTTAACAACTCCATGTTCCTTTGCAGTGGTGAACTTTGGGATGGACCCTGACCTTCAGATGAATATTATTAGTGAGCTTGACCTTGTGAACACCACCTTCGGAGTCACTCAGGTGTATGGACTGCACAACACCAGACAAGCTTTTTGATTTCAAGGTAAAGCACCTCCTCCTTGGCATGGGACAGAGGTTAGGGGAGGAGAGTTCATTGGGAAAAGTGTTCTGCTATTGTTGGGGTCACCTTTGCTATTTCTCTTTTGTTACTGCTGTCCTACAAAATGTTCAGTAAACAGCAGGTGTCCTGAGAGTAGAAAGGACACACCAGAGACAGAGGAAAGATGTCCAATTTGAAAGAGAAACACTTCTTTGGGGATTTTGGTGAGGATCTAAAAGTGCACTGAATCTACATATCCCCTGGAAGCCACTGTCCAGCCATCTTATCGGATATTTATCTAGCTGCTAACTGTATATTTACCTGTGTCACTCACCTAACAGGAAGCCCAAAACCAGAGAGCTCAGATGATGCCACGAGCTACATTCTCTTCAGGATACAGCTTTCTTTATCCTGTTCATTGTGAACTTGATAACTCATTAACTCACTCCACAATCATTTATAAAGGCAGGATAGATAGCTTGGTTTTATCTTGCATGCCTGATACTTTGTGGTATTCAGGTTTTTGAACAATTATTTACTCTGAATATGCTTCATTGACTTCATCTTGTAACACTTCCCTCATGAGCCTATTATAGGATTACAGGAGCTCATCTACTAAAATGATTAAAGCAGTATGTGGGATGTGCGAGGAGCCGAGAAAACCAGGTCTCTGGCCAAGTGGACAGACGCCCTATCAGAGTACCCAAGTTTGATTCTCAGGTCTGGCTTGCTGCTGCCATCTACCCCGGCTCGATCACTTGGGTTGCTGTCACCCACACTGAAGACTCAGGTTGGGCTACTAGTTCCCAACTTCAACCTGGGCAGACTCTCCTGTTGTGGACATTTGGAAAGTGATTCAACCAATAGGAGATCTCTTTCTCTCTGTCTCTTTTTCACATAAGAGTAACTAATTCAAACTGTTTAAGAAGGAAATTTACTCAAGGAAGCACTTCCAAAATTTTTTGAAACGAAAATAAGGAACTTAACCAAAGGAAAATAACATTCACAGAATAGTAATTTCACCTACATACAGATTAACAGTCCATGTTAATAGACTAAACTGCCCAATCAAAACAACAAAATGCAGATTGTCAGACAAGAGTAAATAGAGAAAACCTAAGTGTATGCATCATAGGCAGTATACATTTTTACCTTTTTCTTGTTAAAAAATGTTTTATTGGGCCTGGCACAGTCCCTAACAGTTAAAGTCCTTGCCTTGCACATGCCAGGATCCCATATGGGCAACAGTTCTAATCTCAGCTTCCTGCTTCCCATCCAGCTCTCTGCTTGTGCCCTGGGAAACCAGTGGAGGATGACCCAAAGGGTTGGGACCAGGCGACCACATGGGAGACCCGGAATAGGCTTCTGGGTTTTGGCTTTGGATTGGCTCAGCTCTGGCCATTGTGGAAGTTTGCGGAGTGAAACATCAGATGGAGGATATTTCTGTATCTCCTCCTCTCTGTATATCTGACTTTTCAAAAAAGTAAAAAATGTTTTATTACATTTAATTGATAAAAAATTGTATTTACGGTGCACAAACTAAATGGACAACCAAAGTAAATATTCTCCATCATTTTCTTTGTTGTAAAAATATTTTTAAATGTCTGTAAATTCGTACTAGAATGCTTGTGTCTATCAGTCCTCAGTGTCCCTTACATCATTACCACAGTTTCCTTCTAAAAGACTAAAAATACTTTCCTTGGCTCTTCCACCAAAGTGCAGATCGAGCCACCTAGTCCTCAAGGGTTTTCCAGCACCTTCCCAGCTAAGTTCTCTATAATCAGACCAGGCAGGAATCAGTCATTACCGCACTCAGAATTCCACACAATACAAACAACTTCTTGGACTCCAAAATCTGCCCCTCTGACACAGGGTGATCTTTCACTACTCTGGGTGCCAGTACTCAGAAACTGTCAAGTGCATATTTTTACTAAAACCGGTAAGAAATAAAATCCTTTAGGTCAGAGGTTATCAACTTTTTAATTACCATAAGCACCTTATATCACTTCTTATTAAGTTTCTCTTGGATAGTGATCTTAATTTATTTGTATTACTACTTTATTAAACTCTGAACATACCAAGCTACCAGTTGTAGCTGCTGAGAAAATTAGTGCTACTTTACTTAACTGCTATGAATCCTACTAAGGGGAAAGAGCACACTAATGTTTTAGCTAGAATATATTGATGTCTTGGTAAAACTTGGGAAGTTCCTGAAATATCTTTTTAAAAGTGAATCATCAGACGGAAGATCTTCCTCTCTGTCTCTCCTCTCTGTATATCCGCCTTTCAAAAAATAATAATAATAATAATAATAATAAATCTTTAAAAAAAAAAACCTAAAATGCTCAAATGACATCTAGTAAAAAGGCAATTCTACAGTTTTCATCAAGGGGATGAAAATGTTAATTTTCAGGCCCAGTACAGTAGCCTAGAAGCTAAAAGCCTCGTCTTGCATGTGCCAGGATCCTATATGGGCACTGGTTCATATCCTGTCTACTCCCATTCCCTTCCAGCTTCCTGTTTGTGACCTGGAAAGGCAGTGGAGCATAGGACAGCCCAAAGCCTTTGGACCCTGCACCCATGTGGGAGATCCAGAAGAAGCTCCTTGCTTCAGGTCAGCTCAGCTCCAGCCTTTGTGGCCACCTGAAGAGTGAACCAATGGATGGAAGATCTTTCTGTATCTCCTCCTCTCTGTAAATCTGACTTTCAGTAAAAATAAATAAATCTTAAAAAAAAATAAAATGTTAATTTTCAATTCATTAGATGGACTCTGAATGCTATCATAAGGAACTACAAGATACATATGTATAATGATACACAAATGTGTGTGTTTGTGTGTGTATATATATATACATACATATATATACTATACAAAAACAAGTTATTTAAAACTAATTTTCAATAGTTAAAATCAGGAAATAACCTTGATATCTATTCAAAAACTAGAACAGCATTGTTAAAACAAAGTTAGGCAAAAAAGTCAAACAATTGAAAACCATGAAACTCATAAAATGAAGCTTTTACAGACTTTCAAAAAGCACAGTGACACACTTCAGCAAGAAAAGTCACCAAAGTAGGATACAGAATTGTCGCTGCGCAGTATGATTTCATGTGTACATAAAAAATTAAAAAAATTATAAGCCAAATAAAATCCACTAAAATTTCAATCATGAGTCTTTCCACATGGTGATATTATAGATGAATTAACCGTCTATTTTTCTCTGTGTTTTGAAATGCTGTAGTAAGTAAAAGACTTCATTAAGATGTCAAAACACATATCACTTAAGGGATCAATTACTCCTACATTTAAGCAACAACTTTCAAGAGGTAGCATCCACAGATCAGTGCAGGGAATTCCAAACAATTACAGTACAAATCTCAGATTTTTACATAAACCCATTATAGTATGTTTATGTCCCTCTGTGCTGACTCTTACACAGAATATCAAGATCAGAAAACAATCATCCATGCAAGCTATCTTTCCTTCTTGGGATCCAACAAAGATTCAGCAACCAGGCACTGGAACTGTCGGCATGGCCAGGCATCACATCTCAAAGTACTCTGAAAACAGAAACAAGAAGGTTCTTCTCCAAGTTCACCCTCCGAATGGGTGTGTTGTCCCAACCATTAACAAAAGGAATACTCCAAGGTTCCCTTCAAAAGAATTCAACAAAGACCTGGGCTGGGCCGCCAGACCAACTATACCCACATCCACAGGCACATGAAGAGAAAAGTTTTTCTTAAGAAATATGTACACTATGAAGTTTTAAAAATCCACTGACATGGGTATGTTTCTTTCGGTAAATAAACTGATCTTGAAAAGGACCTCTGGGGTGCCACAATCATAACCAGACTTCTCCTTTTCTGTAGAAGATCACGTGGTTTGATGAAGACTATAGGTTTTGCAACAAAAGAACTGGATTTAAATCTCACCGCTGTCCTCACTACCACCAAGACCCTGGTAAATTCATTTCCCATTGTCATCTTATATTCCTACCAAAGGTCCTGAAAGAGAATATAAACAAAATCTCAGAGGGATAAAACCCATACTTTGGCTCTTAACTAACAGTCTTCAGAATGTAGGAACCTCAACACAATGAGGTTTAAAGTTATGAATTTATACATCAAATCCATCTTTGTCTGACTCTGGACATGAGACTTCATCCCTGTGAACAGAAGTTCCTACTACACATACTGGGGGAAGAATAGCAATTGGAGTTAATGTGAGGATTAAAAACAAAAAGTTGTCCAAATCTGCCACAATGCAAATGATTACACCACATAAATTCTGTATCAACCTGGAGTTCTGTATTTCTTCACTGTCAATCAGTTGAATCTTGGGGGGAAAAAAGCAGCAAAAAATACATCTCAAAGCCACTCTGACCCTTGGGAACACTTACGTCGGCAGACCTTACAGCACTGGCCAGGAATATGCACAGGGAGTGAGTCCAGGGAGCAATTGAGAGGAGGACAGGACATCCTTCGGCATTCCACAGCTCCACTCTGAGGAAGGGAAAAGGGGGGAAATGTCTCAACAGTGTCCTCTGAAAGCTACTGTTGCGGAGAAAGTTCACATGTCACCCCAGAAACCTCGCTGGGGAAGCAATCCGGGTTACTCCAAGGCTGTTTGAGGACCGCAAATCAAGTATTTTCTCCCACCGAAATGAACCCGTGCCACCTCAATTACTTTCCTGATATACATCGCTGGCTTCATCCCACCTGCCTGTGTGGGCTAAGTAGATTAGGCACAAAATAAAAAGCCTATTTCTACAGAGAACACAAATAACACCTTTTGCAGACCCTGTCAATCATGGTTGAAGCTCTAACAATCTATTTTGCTTTTTCCTGGACAAACAATAGCATTCTTCAGATATTTATCAAGTAATTTCAACTGCACGGGGTTTACATACTAATTTTTTGAGAGGACACATACATAATTCTCTACAAAAAACGAAAGCACATACAAATGATGGATGCTCTAAAATTTACAGGGATGGGGGCCAGGGGAGGAGGAAGGGACATTTTGTACACTTCTGAAACAGATACCTTGCAAAACATAAAGGAAACAGCTAGCAACTAATTAATTCCACTTTCAAATTTATTCTAGCATAGAAAAGTTGTGAACAAAGTGAGGCACTAGGTTGTTTAAAAATCAAAGGACTCTCTACACACACACCTTGAACTCTCAATTCCAAATAGTAAGTCCCTTAATTACAATATTGGAACAAAATTAAGTGCTGTTGGGGGAAAACAAGTTTGAATATGTAAATACCTATGTAAGAAATGGAACTTTTCCAGTACTTGTTCACATATGCTCAGATTGCTAGTGCGTAATAAGTAAAAAGGTAATGTTTCTGAGAGTTACCATTCTATCTGGCAGCAGCAGCTTGTGCTGTCATCAAAGAACCTGTCTGCTTAGGATGGCTTTTATCTTATTTGTTTACAAAGAAGCTTACTCTGCATGTGCAGTTCCTGCAGTGATCACCGTCCACCCAGGAGTCCTGGTCTCGATAGAGCAGTCCACTCACTTGGCAGGTCTTCTCACAGTGACAGTTTTCCAATTGACTAAGTCTTGTCTCTGCATAATTCAGCTGCAAACAAGAGTTATTGTCATTCAATTGCACTTGTCCTAATAAAACAACAAGAAAAAATATTCGAAGAGGAAGAGAAAAAAGTGCTCAGAGCAGTTCACCAGATTTTGCTTGCTTATTATATTTTTTTTAGCACAAGGTGAAATCACTGTCGACCAAAGACATATGGGCTCTCATGGTCTAATGAACACCAAATGAGACATCAAACCATACCTCAGGAGCCACAGTGGTGTTCAGAAACACGGGTGCTTTAGGCATAAGCCCACACAGAAGCAATTGTAACAAATGTGTGCTCAAGGACTCATTACAATGTTTACAAGCAATCTAATCAGAGACTCCTGTGTGCTCACATTTTTCTCCTGCTATTCACTCCCTGTTCTTCACACACTAACTGGAGTTTTACTGTTTAAAAGTTACATAACCATAAGCCTGGCAAGGTAGCCTAGTGGTTAAAGAACTCGCCTTGCAATCATTGGGATTCCATTTGGATGCCAGTTCATGTCGCAGCTACTCTAATTCCCATCCAGCTCCCTGGTTGTAGTGAGAAAGCAGCAATGGATGGCCTAAAGCCTTGGGACCCTGCACCTATGTGGGAGATGAGTTCAGCTCTGGCCACTGTGGGCATGTGAGGGGTGAACCAGTAGGTGCAAGATCTTTCTCTCTGACTCTCCTTCTCTCTGTCAATCTGACTTTTCAATAAAAAATAAATCTTTAAGTTCATTAAGTTGAAGTAAAATGTCAGTTCATTATGAATATATGAAACTTGCACATAATATTTTTGAATAGCTCACACCTTCCGTGAACTTTCTGAAGATTTCTTGTACAGGTCAATGATAATTTAAAAGAAAGTAACAACTTAGCATTTATTATCTTTATTTTTAGGGATCCGGTATTTCCTATAATTCAATGGTTGATACATGATTTGGGATTGAACAAGGACCAGCTGAATTAGGTATATACCCATCTACAAGCATCCAAAAATTGGCTATTAGTGAAAGGAAGTGTGCTGTCTTACTGTGAAAACAACTTTTGTGTGCCTATCAACTCAAAAAGGAAACTTCTTAAAGACTAAATAATCCAAAAGGCAATTGGATATCCACCAAAGTTCCCTGAAAATCCAAGAGTTTGCTGAAGGGTAATTTTGGCAATTTCCATTCATGACCCAACAAAGCTGAGCTAAAGCTCAGTGACAAAACTCAATTCCAAGGAAAATATCAGCTTTAATATGATGAAAGCTATTCTCTGGGAAGGTTTTGTTTTCTTTGTAAACTTTTCTTTTGTTTTTAATACATTTAGCCTTTTCTGACAACACTGAAAATCCCTAATCTCTGTAATAATAAGAGTGTATCTGACAGACACAAAGGCAAAGTGATATTAAGGAAAAAAGCTAATTTTTCAAAGGCACTTAATATGTAATCTTGCCTTCTCATTTCCCCTGCTATATCTTGTAACAACAATAAAGGGGAAAACAATTCTGAATCAAAAGTGAATTATATTTTCTGTCACTGGTATTACAGTTTAAACAAATTTACTTTTTAAAAATATTTCTATACTACCTGCCATTTTCTCTAAGAATGCCGGTAGACTCTAAATAGATAGAGCAATGTAAAGTTGTACTCTGTCATAATTTTTGTTCGTGCATTTATCTAAGCAACCATGGACTGAATCACTCATTATTTTTTAAAGATGTTACTCTTATTGCAAAGTCAGATATGCAGAGAGAGAGAGAGAGAGATAAAGACCCTCCATGTGATGATTCACTCTCCAAGTCGACACAATGGCCCTAGCTGAACCAATCCAAATCTAGGAGCCCAGAACCTGTTCCGGGTCTCTCACAGGGGTGCTGGGTCCCAAGGCTTTACGCCATCCTCTACTGCTTTTCCAGGCCACAAGCACTGAGCCAGATGAGAAGTAGGGCCGCCAGGATTAAAATCCAGCACCCATATGGGATTCTGGCACATTCAAGGTGAGGACTTCAGCTGCTACGCTGCCATGCCAGGCCCAATCATTCATTCTTACTGTATTCAAAGACACAGAGCATTAGTCTTTTCCACAGTGAGGCCAACAAATAGATCTGAACAGTTCAGTGGTTTGGTATATTGCTTTAAAAATCTTTGAAATACTATTTCTTTGACATGTTTTTATATGAAAGGAAAAAAATATCTGTTTTATTAAACCTTCAAGCTTAATGGGAAAATCATTACTGAGTTCATGGAAATAATGAAAATCTCAAAATTAGATAGATTACAAGTTTCAATGCCACTCCCAGTACTACTTGATTTGCTTACATAGATCTGTCAAAGATTTAAACAGAAAAAAATCCACACCCTTTTCTCCGGTGTCTCTTACACATGATCTTGAAGGTAGCATAAGTGCGTAGCAAAGATGGAGTTCAAGAGCAGGACCACCACAATGTACTTGGTCAAGTAGATAGGTGGTTCACTCAATGTCAAGACTAGCCAGAAGAACTCCGGAGTACACCAAGATACTGCTGGAATCTTCAGTCACTAACAGAACTAAAGACCTAAAACAGGCATATTATTTTAGGCAACTTCTCTATGTAATCTTCCCATGGAAAAAAGTATAGTTTTGCCAAAATGCAGAATTTCTCAAGAGGATTCATGACCTCTGTCCCTTGAATGGAAGTGCAAGATGTCTCATGACATCTTGTAATAAGCAACGGTAAAGTCATTTACCAGCAAGCCCAATCCTAAAAGAAGACCTCCCAGGTAGACCCTGAGTTGATCTGATATCTTCATCTGTTTGGTTTGATCTGACTTTGGCCAGCAATTCCTGTCCAACTTGTGTAACAGACTTGCCACCTGCAAGGGCTTCATAATTCCACTATGACCTAGAACTATGCTGCATTTCATTCCAAGACCTCTTACAGCTTAGCTCTAGCACGATTCCAAAATTAATCCACAAATTCTGCTAGTTTTGTGAAGCCTAGCCATCAGAAAAAGTACACATTTTTATAGGGGGGTCATACAAATAGTTGGTACCATTTTCTAAATGCACACTGTAAGCCATGCATCAAACCTCACTTGCCTGGTCTTCTGGAATCTTTCTAAAACCAAGGATCAATATCCCCATTTTACCATCTTAAGGAGAAATGGTAACTGGAAAGTCAAATGAGTTACTCAGGCAACAAATACCCAAGGACACAATATGCAAAACTGAGCTACATAATCATACCAGTGTAATCCCAAAGTGAATTTGCTGTTTCCACCATGATAAACCTGACTCTGTGGCAATCTTAATCAAACCAAACCTACAAATTATAGTTCAAATGCCATCAGCTTAACCTTGTCCCAGTCACCTAATTTAACAAAAGGAGAAATCTGGGTCCAGATACATTTCGTCCTATAGAATTCTCTTTTGTATCCAAGAACCATATTTAACTTCTGGTTTGCCACATACCACCAGACATGTTCAACATGCCAAGAGGCTCAACTATAATTCTGCTTTTGCCAAGATGGCAGACTAGATAGCCCAAAGGAATTCAATGATTTCATCAAAATGCTACATTCAACATCTAAATAAAAAATGTTTGAAATAACAAACTGATAACAGGGATGTTGGCAGTCAACTTGGCACCAAAACTGACCTACAACTGAGGGTTTCTCGTAAAGCATTCGTTATCAGCTATACAAGAAGCAAGCAGTGTTAGACAACAAGGTTGGCCTAAGGTGAATTAGATAAATTTTCATACAGAGGTGGGAGCCTCTAGAGCTGTACCCTCAATTTTAGCATTCACACTTAACTGATAAGTTATTTTACGGATTCATCTGTGTCATTTTACAGTAATTTATTGTAGTTTAAAAACTGCACATTATACTGACAACTGATTTATACAGGAACCTTGTAAGATTGGAAGGACTGGTTTGCATTTTTGAACATGGTCCCAAAATTCCAATGTGTTGGCTTGGTCAACTCACTTACTGATGTAGAAATGGTGCTCAAAGTAATATTATTTTGAGTCAGTAGCTTACCTTATAAATGACAATATATATATGCAAATGACAATATATATAAATGACAACACAGACAATTTCTCACAATAAAATATGTTAATCACAGTGTATAGTTAAAACAATACTAATTAGGTACTATTTGAAGGAATTTAAAAGACAGTAATTTTTGAAGAAATCTCCTTAAGAATTCAGTGGGCATATTCTAGGACTATGGATTTATCTGATCAGTCTTTGTGGTCTGAAAATTCCTAGTCAAACAGCGTAACACAAGGCTGGCCTGAGTGGTCCAGGCAGAATACAGTGTCAAGCCAGAATTCAAAGAATCCCACATACTCTCAAGGGATCAACCAGCTGGTAGCTAGAAACAGTGAGCAAAAAGCTTTTGATCTTGCCCTAGCCTTCCTCCTAGGAAAATGCCTACAAGATCTAGGTTCCTCTATTTCATTCCCAATAGTTAACAATGAAACCTTCGGCCCAGCTCAGTGCAGTGATCAAACAAGCAATCCCCGTTTCCTCTCCGGTCACTTCTCCTCCTGTTGATATCTCCAATCACTTATCGGCTACATCCACTTTCTTTTTTCTTTTAGTCATTCCTTTATTACCCCTTTTGATTCTCCTATCCAACCAAAACCATTTTCACTCATGATTCAACTTTCAGTATTTACATGAATTCAAGACCCTCCTTTGTCATTTGCTAAAAAAAAAAAAAAAAGGTTACCCAATCTGTATCACCATCTATAAAGTCGGCTAATAAACAGAACTTCACCTGTACCAGTAATGTGAAGATTAAAGTCAACATTAAAATTTTAAGCAAATAGAATATATAGTGAATGTCCAATGAAGAATGTATAGATTTTCTCCTTTCTTAATGTACTACAGTCATTTATTCTCTGCACTGATAATTATCACTCTAAAATATCTATGTATCTTTTTATAACAGCTGCAATCCTAATGATATATTTCTCTAGATTCACACAGGAAAGCATAGTTTCACTTTTGATATTATTAAAAGGTGAAAAATCATTAATGTGACAAAAATTTAAATTACTTGAACACAAAAGGTAAAATTTATAGGACAGAAACCATTAATATTGTACTTCTCCAATATTAGCTGGATCTGTCACCATCAAAACTCTTGACAAAACTATAGTTGATTACGAAGTTCACCAGATCCATTAATATCACGAAATATTTTCAATTTATCTTTTCAGTACCTAACAATTAAAATATATTAGGATATAAGCTGTTTAAGTATTTAGTAATCTTTCTAAGACAAGTGCAGAAACTTTGTTCAGCAGAAAAAAAAGCACTGCTACTTATCATCACTCCCAGTGCGAACAGTCATTTAATGTACAAATCAGATACTAAACCAATGAAATCTACAGATGAAGAGAGTTAGAGCATTAGAGAAACCTGTGACAATCTGAATCAATTGCCTGCTATGCAGCAGAGCTTTCAGAAGAATGAAATTGGGATTGGTTTTACATATGCAGCACATGGAGATGGTTCAGGAAATCCAGCCAAACAGTAGGTGATAGTTCGGGGGCTCTTGTTGGTCATCGAGTCAAAGGAGTGGGCTGGAAGCAGCTGGTACATAACCAATGTGAACCTGGCAGTCTCTGGGAAAACATCCTCTCAAGGCCAGTTAAGATCCTTTTCCTTAAGCCTTATTCTTGTACAGCAAGGATTCATAAACCAAAGTTCACGGGTCAAGTGTGTCCTATTGATTTTGTACGGCATATGAACTAGATACTTTCTTACACTTTTTAATGGTTATATTTTATTTTTTTCAAATTTCTCTTCTTTTTTCAAAGTTTATTTTTTTAAACATTTATTTATTTTTGTTGCAAAGTCAGATATATACAGAGAGGAGGAGAGACAGAGAAATATCTTCCATCTGTGGTTAACTCCCCAAGTGACCACAATGGCCAGTGCTGTGCTGATCTGAACAAGAAAAGCTTAGAACCAGACAGGAAATAGTCAGCATGGACTCACACATACCTTACTAGGTAGGACACAATTATTAGTTACTCCTCACTAAGGTATTGAAGATTTCTCTGTACACCCCTCCTAAAACTGTTCTGCACCTCAACTGTTGACATATGCCTCATTAAAGTTATAAGCCAGTTTAGACTATCCTAAAATCGGCCAAGTTCAGCAAAATTATGCTTCAACACTATAAACTGCTAAATACTAAAATGAAAACAGACACGAGACAGCTGAATAGTACCCTATAGCCATCTTGAGGTGTATAGAAGCCAGTTGTAATGGTTATATTTCAGATTATAATAAATGATTATGTTGAAATAAAATCAGCATATACATAACCTTCTCAAATTTGCTCCTGAATCTGCAAAACTCAAAATTTACTAGCTGACCATTTACATAGAAAAAAATGCCAACTCTTGTTTTAGATTATCATAGACTGCAAAACTATGCACTAGAAATCAAAGTACCCAGTCGTAGAATTATAATTCAATTCAGTTTGGAGAAACAGACAAATAAATCTGCCAAATTACCAAAGAGAGGGTTTGGAAGGTAGATTCAACCATTCTGTTTACTATTGCCCACAATTAAATACCTTATGTTTTACAAGCATGCACTTTACATAATGCTGTCTTGAGTATAGAGTTCACTATGGATTAATACATAGCTAAAACAAAAGAATAATGTCCCATACAATGAGGAAAAACCGGTATTCATGAGGTTGCAGAACAGAGATCCCAGCCATCTAAGATTAGGTGGCATGCTTATTTTTCCAAAAATTTGGTGGCAAAAATTTGGTGGTACTAAAATAGAATTAAACAGCATTAAGAGTAAGCTCCTCCAGACATCATGAATTGAAAGCTTCTATATGCCACAAGCTGGGAAGGCAAATTGCAGCATTTTACATTTTCACTGCACTCTGAAATGAAAAGGTATCATGTCTCCAGTCTAAGACTCACTCTTTTTCTTACAAACAGGTTCCATCTCTCTCTCTTCCAGACAAAAGGGCACTTGGTTTGGTCAAAAATACGGTTTCAATCAAAAACTGTCGTCAGTGGCAGAAGCCGTCAGCCCAAAGCACAGCCCTGCCTCCTGTACACTTACTTACCATTTTTTTTCCCACATGCCATGGCTGAAGGCAAGGAGCAGTCACAGCTGCAGGTGGAACAGGATTAATGCATCATTTTGCCTGTTATTAAAATTCTTCCTTTTGCAGACTCTAATGTCTCTTAGGCCCAACCTAATTCTTTCTTTGCCCTTGGCTGGAACTCATGTCCACAACTGATTGGTATCATAACAGCAGTATTAGCCTCATTTTCTTTTTTTTTTTTTTCAGTGCTTTTTTCCACAAGGCTCAGGGCTTTTCATTATGAATCTATACTTTATGAATACATATGAAAGTGATTAATTGTGTACATCTTTGGTTATGTTAGTAGGAATATTTCTGGGATAGAAGCATGTCTAGTTCACCATTGCCTCTCTGTGCTTAACACAGTATGCAGTGAAGAGCAGGTCTTCAACAATAGGCTTGTTAAGAGGATGATGGAGAGGAGGAAAAAATTCAGAACAATAAAGCTGAAGGTATTGAAGGGCAAACTTCAGTTCCCTATTTAACTTAGGCAGAGCCCTAAAATAAATCATACATTAGAAATGTAATATAATGCCTCCCTTGACAGTAATCTGTTCCTAACAAAAGCTATTTTGCCCTTCCTGATTATTAGCAATTATTCTCACATCCAAAATGCATTAGTTTATAAACTGTACTGGCTTCGACCATATATCATCTCATGCAGTACTACTTGAATAGCCAGTAGGCAAATTCCTTTTCCATTCCCAAGAAATCTACAGTGATACATATTGCCTTTTGCTCCCAAACATTTTTCAAGTACACATTTTGATATAGTTTAATAGTATCATTTTGATATGGTTTAATAGTGTCATGGTTGTGTTTGCTAATAGTATCATGGTTATGTTTGCTGTCAATGATCCTGTTTCAAGTAAGAAGAAATTATTTTTGTAGCAACAATATTGCAGATGCGAAGACTAAAAATGTTTCCATTATAACTATCACTCTCAATTCCAGCTAGGACAGAGAAAAAAAAATGAAACAGCACAAGTGAAATTTAGATACCTACTTTTGCAGTCATCTTGGCCAGCAGGTCTTGTAAATCCATGATTCCTTGCACCAGACTTAAGAAATCACTGCAGGTTGGGCAAGCTCAATAAAGAAAATATGAAATATAAATTGATATTGTACTAAAAAATTTAAAACAGCAGCCATGTAACTGTAAACTACTTTTTTTAACTTATATTCTTAAAATTTGAGGGAAATCAGACGTCTGATCTTTATACTTTCCCCTTTTAAACAAGTGAAAGAGAAGAAACAGAGAAAGTGTTCTAATTAACTGAAATGGAAACAAGACATTTTTTAATTAAAAATAAACTCATTCTTATTGAGAAGTAATTCAAAAAATGTAAACCATCACAGTCAGTCAAAACATTTGAGAAACAGTTTTGCAAAATATATACAATTATGTTAAAACTTTTTTTACATCTCAATCTATAAAATGTACTGATAGAATCCCTTTCCCATTTCAAATTAAAATTTTTAATCTTTAATCTTTTTAAAATTTCAAAGACAGGAATATTCATTGACATTTTCTTTCACTATGACCATCTTAGAAATCAACACTGCAAATATTCCAAAGTGTTTCTTTGATGTTATCAACAACTTATATGAAATATAAAGTTTATGAATGATATAAGTTGCTACTTACTGCGATTTAGGTTTGGACACTGTGTTATGTATCCATTTGGCATAAAAATTATTTTCCCATCCTGGATGATTCCCTTGATCAAAGAAAAAGAGACAAGTGACAATCAAGATAACTGGTACTCATCAATTCAAATTCTGCTATATGGCTGCATAGACTGCAGGTCAGAATATGCAACAAGACTCATTTTTAGATGAGATTCTAATGACATTTTTACAAAACAAGATTCATTAAAAAACTGAGTTGGCCTTAGTCTATTCTACTCCAAAACACCTTCTTCTTGAAATTCTGAATTGTACATTTATCTTGAGAAAGCTACAATCCGTTACCACTGGTTAATTCTTCTGAAATAATAGCATTGAGGGCTATCAGTAACTGTTCATAAGCTACCAAACTAAAGAGGCATTTACATCATAACAATGCCCTTCAATGCCCTAATCTTCCTGGAAATGTCAAACACTGCTGATCTTAGGATTTCCTTAAAAGCAAGGAGAAATAGTAGAAATCAATGAGAAGATTTTTAATGTTTCATATAGTCAAGAAAATTAAGTTACTCATTAAAAATAGCGCATAATGATCTCAACAAAACTAAGAAGACCTGCCCAAATCTACAAGTACAAAAGAGACTTTCACATCCGTAATTAAGTCTGGAAAGACACATCAAACTTTAACAAAGTCATCAGGGCTGCCATTTTCCAATGAAAATAATGACCAGGTTTTTTAAATTTGCAAGCTAAATTTTAAGGTTCTGTTTCAGAGAGAAAAAAACAGAGCGAGAGCAAGAGAGAGAGAAAGATTTTGCTTTAACAGAAGAGAGGCTATACAGAGGCTAGCTCAGAAAATTGAGTCTAATTTGTAAATAACATACAGGTTTAAGAAATAAATGCAAGTTTTCAGGGGAACATTTAACATTTACGTGCTCTTATTCTAAACAGGAAAAGGTAATTAGTAAATGATGTTTGCTACTTCTGATTTCAGGATAAAATATTAATTGGAGATATTAATAGAAATAGCAGGATCATACACCTCTTCTGCAGGATTATATACATTTATTAAACTCTTCCTGTTCCAGAAATCACAGTGTTTGTGATTACAAGAGACAGACTCACCATGGGGATGAAGCCCCTACCACTGCTGCTTAATATTAATTCATAATCTCTTGCATGGAATACCATGGAACAATTAATTGAGCACAACTAAGTGAATCAGCTCCTTTCTGAGATGAAGCTGTTCAATTTCTCAAAGCAAATTAACTAAAGCATATGTGGAAGATTTTAAAGAACGGGATCGGAGCAGGTGGTTTAGCCTGTTAGCCCCATACCATATCCTGCTCCTGCTCCTGACACTGTCTCCCTGCTGGTTGAGATCCCACATAGCAGCATTAGCAGCTCTAGTTCTTGAATTCCTGCTACCTATAGTGGAGACCTGGAAAGAGTTCCTGGCTCCCTGCTTCAGCCCTGGAAGTTGTGATCATTTAGAGAGGGGACAGTGAATGGGAACTCTGTGTCTCTACCTCTGTTTCACTTTCCTTCCTTTGCTCCCCACCTTTCTCTCTCTCTCTCTCTCTCTCTCTCTCTCTGTGTGTGTGTGTGTGTGTGTGTGTGTGTGTGAGATGTCTTTCTGCCTCTTAAATGAGCAAATAATGGAAGTCAGGGGACCAAGATTAAGTTCTGTTTACTTCTGTAGCTAACCCAGTGAACTCAAGACCTTAAGTTAAACACAGTATCTGGCCTCAGTTACTTCACCTGAAAAAGAAACACTAGACAAAAATGCTCAAGATCCTTCCATCACTCAAGATCAGAGTTAAACAGGCAACTGAACTGATACTGTCACATAATAGATGCCTGTGCTGTCACTACCTTCCAAGTTGAAAAAGCCAGTCAAGACAGACAGAGCTATAGATTTTCATCAAAGAACAGACCATCAGAAAACTCAGTATCATGTCAGAAAGCATCCATCCACTGGAGCTGGCATGGTAGCTTAACTAGCTAATTCTTCAACTTCAAGCACCAGCATCACATATGGGGATTGCCTCATGTCCTGCCTACTTTACATCCAGCTCTCTGCTTATGGGCTGGGAAGGCAAAGGAGGACGGTCCAAAGCTTTGGAACCCTGCACTGGCATAGGCCCAAAAGAAGTTGCCAGTTCCTAGCTTTGGGTCAGCTTAGCTCCCAGTTGCTATGGCCATTTTGCGGAGAGAGCCAAGTGGATGGAAAATCTTATGTTCTCTGTCTCTCCATCTCTCTGTAATTTCGCCTTTCCAATAAAAATAAATCTTTTTTTAAGAAAGTATTTCATCTAATTAAGTTAAATATGGCTTACTTTAAAGTGACCAAGCATTCTTGTTTGCACAGGACCTGGGAAATACCTGAAACATGGGACACTGCAGTGTTAACACAGAGAATCAGGGAAATAAGGACACAGCTCACCCTCAGGGATGCAGAAGCAGTGAAAAACATACTAGGGGAGGACTGAAACCATCTATTATGCTGTAGCAAAATGCTCTCTATTATTCTTATTTTTATCATCCCTGGATATTAAGGTACCCCTGGAATTATTATGATACTATCTTTCCATCACAAGATGCTACCCAGGGTTGAAACCAAGGATCCTGGTCTTTGCTCTTCACCCAAACAAGTGTGTCAACTTTAATGTTTGAATGGTACTTAAAGTATTCCAATAAAAATTGGAGCTCAGTCAAACAAGAAACATCTCATTTGTAGCTATATCTGCAAAGAGCCCAATGGAATGCAACTCCCAGGTGTCAAGCAGAAATGCCAATTATGTGCCTCGTCATCACATCACCAAGCTTCAGAGTTGAAAGGTCTAAACTAGGAAGAGAGTGCTGTGTACTCGCTCAACCGACCCCTTTCACCCTTGAAACATCTTTCAATAAACTGTTATACTATCGCTACATCTTTTTTAAATTAATTAATTTATTTATTGGAAAATCAAACTTACAGGGGCCAAGGAGAGAAAAATAATTTCCATCAGCTGGTGCACTCCTAAGATAGATTTAATGGCCATGACTGGGCCACGGCAAAGCCAGGAGATCTCTCATATGTGTAGCAGGAGCCCAGGCACTTGGCCTATGTTCCATGATTTTCCCAGGTCATTAGCAGACAGCCAGATCAGAAATGAAGCAGCAGGGACATAAACTAGTGCCCATATGGGATGCCACCATTGCAGGCCACAGGTTTGCCTGCTAAGCCACAATGTTATCTGCTTATGATTTTGAATTCATAACCTACCCCCCAGCAAAAATGAATGGAGGTAAGCCAGTTGCCAATTACACTCACCTTGTTCCTCTCTATACATGTCTCCTTACTTTTTTATCTTCCCACCTTTAATCTCTAGCATATGTGTGTTACAGAAATTTAGATAAAGATCAACATCAGTGACTTGAACCAAAATAAATAAACATGATAGCTTCCCAAGACGCATTAACAAAATAATACAAAACAAACCATTTTTTTTTTTCTGAGCGAATATCATAGGGGGTCATTTTACACACTGGCCTGGCAACTTGTCCCTGCCAGATGAATCAATATGAGACTATTAATTTACTTAAATGGATATAAATTAATGCAGGAGTAAGAGAAAGTTGGCAATACAAAAAATTCCACATGAAACCCAATGAAGTCACACTGCATGGGTGAGCATGTGACTGCATACATCCATCATATCTATCCTGGCATGTCCCCAAAATAGGAAACAGAGGTCTTACATTGAGTTGCCATATGAACTAGAGACTATATTTTCAACTCAACAATTAACACTAAGTAGTTGCTAGCAAATCATTCTCTTAATTAAATTACAAAAGGAGTCATGTAAATGGAAAATTATAAGGTACATCACTGGCCTTATTCTTCCTCAAAGAAAAATGCCTATAAGGATGAAAACGTATGTGGAAGCACTACACAATTTTTCAATAGAGATGAGACACGAGGGGATAAACGCTATTATTTCCCCTCATTTAATTTTAATTGTATGTGTACTTTGCTGCCAATGCAATATTAACTGGGCCTATGTCAGCTGCCTCATTTTTCTTTCTCTTTTTTTTTTTCATTCCTGAGCAATGATTCTCAAGCTTTAAGTCCCTTAACATTCCAAGTAGCTTATTTACTGAAAATTCGTATTTCTGAATTAACTCTCAAAATTTGTTTCAGTAGGATTGGAATAAATCCAGAAATCAAAAGCTAACATATAAATCTGTCTAAAAAGACCAAAGAACTCACTCTGAAAAAATTTGCTATATTATCAATCATTTTTTAAGCAAGAAAATTTACTCAATAAAAGTCCAGAGTGGTTAGAACAGCATCCAACTACTGCATATGAACAGTGAAATCTTACTAATTTGGAACTTAATGAAAACTAACAAAATTGCACTATGAGACCAAAAATCATTTATTTTCATCTTAGTGTTCTATATAGTTCATATTATAGTGTATTTTGCATAGTAACACAGTAAATATTTAAAGCAACAAATTTCTGAAAATAATGAGTTACACAATATTGTACACTACATATTTTTGAGAACTTTTAGGGTCTGTGAAGTCTGTGAAGATTATGTCAGGCATTAGTCTTTATCCTAAAATTACATAGCAGAATTCTCCAGAAGATCGGAGGAGATCATGTCTATTTTGCAACAACAACAAAAAGACATACGTCTATTGAGGAGGTGTTTCTGAGGTGCTCTTAAGACTAAACTCCTAAAATACAAGATCAGGAACCATTCTCTCTTTCTCTGTTAGTCCAAGATACTCTTGCCTGTCCTGTCCTTTATTAAAAAGAAGCCACATAATCGAGGGAGTTGTATGGCTGACCTGACAAGGACACTCCAGGACTGAGGCAGAAGGCAACATCAACTTACATATCAACTCCCACACTCCCAGCTCAACTGAACCTCACATATTCATTATTTTAAAAAATAAATAAATTCCCAACAAGTACACCATCGGCAACCAGTCATCACTGAACAACCAGCAACTTGGATTTTTTGCTGAACTAGTTTTAATCTATAAGTATGGTCACCCCAGCTCCTCAGGAAATTCAGGAATTAAGCAACAGATGCC